AGAGTGATCACCTTAGGGCCATTAATGAGTTCGTGCCGTAAGGAGCAAGAAATTACTTGAGAAGGACAGCTGTTATTCTGCAGGATAATTTTGATGAGGTCTATTTCCACATCAACTTTGCACAGTAAATGAATGCCTTGGGTCTTATTTACAGGGTTGCCAAAGAGGCCAATCTTCCAGCCTATGGAACAGTAGGAATGCCGATGTGTATGCTGACCAGTGAAGGTTGGTTTGCGATTGATAGTAGCAAAGACCTCATACTGGTTTCTCAGTAAGGACTTCAAGGAAAGTCAGCTTATTTGACTGCTCCTTGTCAAAGGATAATTAAAGGACAAGTTGGAGTACATTACGATGTGAAAGAAAATTTGTACATGCAACTGTGGATTCGAATGTAGCAAACATGTCAACTGTATATCAGAAATCTTCACAGAATAGGAGTTTAGATTAGTACTCTTCCAGTGTGGGCCGTTGGTCAAACTGTCAGATAATTGAAAGAGAGTGGAAGAATTGAGAGGTGGACGTAAAGCGCAAGTACGTATGTAATTGTCACAATATTTTCTAATCATGTTGTCGTGGGGTAGTATGTGGACTCATATGCTCTGTTATTAGGAGAATAATTTCCGAATTAGAATTCTATGTCAAAATAGAATAACTATTATTAATAATTATTATTGTTCAGTAATTTATTCTGTAATCCAAGATGGTGCTGGAACATGGCAACATTATCCACTTTTCACTGTACCTATTGACAATATATTAAATAAATAAAGTTTATAAGCAATAAAAAAGCAAGCTGCACTGTAAGTTGTAATAACCTTAATTCCAAATGTGAAATGATCAGAGGCTGCAAAAGAGCAACCAAATTTACTGATCATTTGTGAACATTTTCCTAGGCTTTATTAACATTTATAACAAGAACATGCCTCTGAACATCCAAGTTTCTATGTCAGCAATTTACTCATGCTGATTCATGGCTATGTACAGATTTGGCTATCATGAAAGTGGCTTTGAAAGACAACGGTAGAAAACAGCTAATGTGCCAATGAAAGGACCTTCAAATGAAGCATGGAGCACTCTGTTTACTGGTAAGCTATGATAAGGCATCTCATTTTAACTTCAAATGCTATTAATTGAAGCTATCATCATCAACACAAGAAAACAGGAAATAACAGCTGAACTATTTGATAAGTTTAAGGAAAACACACACAGAATCATAAACTATGGATTTTTACTTTACGGTCCCAGTGCCACATTTCTGAAAAAATTTATCACAGTTATTTCCCTATGCCCCTTTCACTTTTCATTTTTCAAATGTTATCTGCTTCTGTTTCCAATGCTTTTAAATGTCCACCATTAGTTCAATCTGTGTTTGCTTTAATATATGCTTTCAGCCAATGCCAGAGAGACCTGTGGTTTCTGCACCTTGGAATTTAAAGTTTGCAGATCTGACTCTCACAGACTTCAACCACTGCATGCTAAGAACCATAAAACAGTTGTCCCCCTCCCACCCACTCCACCCTGCTGAGTTTAAATTATGTTTCTAATCCTAGTATTATGGTATTGATGGTCCAGAATCTGTTTGATTCTCTTTAACCTTAACTAGGAATGCTGTCTCTATCTTTTATTCTGTATCTTTAACTTAGTCAGCATTTTCTTTATCATATGATTTCCAGTTCTCCAGCAAATGTCCTTTTGCAGGACCTTTCCTGTTTTTGAGGTGATGAAGGTGCCATTACCTTACAATCAACTGAATTTTCCTGGGCCCTGAATGAAGTGGGAACGGTGAGTCAGTTGGAAAAATGTGGTGAGATCAGAAAAATGAAAAACATTTAAATGATGAGAAGTAAATGTAACTTATGAGAAGTGAGTGGCCTACTTGGATGCATTTCCATTTCATTAGTACCTAATCTCAGCTCATTTATAAGCACTTTTCTGTTTTACGACACAGCAGAGAGCAACATAGAAACATAGAAAATAGGTGCGGGAGTAGGCCATTTGGCCCTTCGAAAATGCATCACTATCCAATATGTTCATGGATGATCGTACAATTTTCCTATCCCACTCCCACCTTCTCTCCATACCCCTTGAACCCTTTAGCCGCAAGGGCCACGTCCAGCTCCCTCTTGAAAATATCTAACAAACTGGCCTCATCAGCTTTTTGTGGGAGAGAATTCCACAGGTTCACAACTCTCTGAGTGAAGAAATTCTTCCTCATTTCAGTCCTGAATGACTAACACCTTCTTGTTAAACTGTGACCCCCATTTCTGGACTTCTTCAACATCAGGAACATTCTTCCCACATTTGGTCTGCCCAGTCCCATCAGGATTTTATGTGTTTCTATGAGATCCCCCTCATTCTTCTAAATTCCAGTGAGTACAAACCCAGTTGATCCGATCTTTCTTCATATGTCAGTTCTGCCATCCCAGGAATCAATCTGGTGAACATTTGCCAGACTCTCACAATAGCAAGAATGTCCTTCCTCACTCTAGGAAACAAAAACTGCACACTATACTCAAGGTGTGGCCTCACCAAGGCCCTGTATAACTGCAGCAAGACATCCCTATATTCAAATCCTCTCGCTATGAAGGCCAAAATGCCATTAGCTTTCCTTACTGCCTGCTACACCACAAAGCCAACTTTCAGCAACTGTTCCACCGTGACACCCAGGTCTTGTTGCATCTCACCTTTTCCTAAACGGCCACCATTCAGATAATAATCTGCCTTCTGGTTTTTATGACCAAAGTGGATAACCTCACATTTATCCACATTATGTTGCATTTGCCAAATTTTTGCCCACTCAGCCAACCTGTCCAAGTCACCCTGCAGCCTCTAGCATCTTCCTCACAGCACACACTGCCACCCAGTTTAGTGTCAACTGCAAATTTGGAGATATTGCATTCAATTCCTAGATGATAATTCCTGATAAGATACTCAGAGCAAGTTCCTGACTGTTCTAGCTCACTGCTCGCTCCTTTGGGCCACCAGCTTGAACAGCAGTATCTAACATCTCAGGGAATGCTCCCTGGGCAGTGACCACTTGCATCTGTCATCCATGAATGTTGGCATTGGACACATATCTGCCTCATCACATCATCATGGAACATCTCTGACTCACTTTGAATACATTTCAATGTTGCACTTTGGAGTGTACCAACACCTTACATTGTGATTCTACTGTCAGGCTGCTTTGTGCCCGGGGACAGACACCCATCTCATTTATCAGAGCCTAGAGCATCTCAGGGCTCTTCACATCTCACTTAGTGTTTGCTCAGTTCATGCCTTTTAGGATGATCAGAGCATCTCCTCCTTCCTTGCTTTGCAATTTTGCATTTTGCCATTCTGTTCACAAATTAGGTGCTCACGGTAGTTTTGCCTTATCTTGCACTTTAGTGGAGAAATAAAGGCAGGCAGTTGATTATGATTGTCAGCAGTGATCAGACAAGGGGTGGACATATTGCCATACAGCACTGTGTTATAACAGCGTCACACCTACAGCATATACCAGCAACTTATGTGGCAACCACACTGCTTTTTCTTCAACCAAATGACACACCTCAAAGTCTAAGGGGATTAGTCCTCAGTTAAGTCAAGGGTGAGACTGCAGTCAGTCAGGGGTAATAGTCAAGGGTATTGCCCAATCTCAGTCTTAGACTTGTAGTGATCAGGGTCTGAAATTCCATATAACTGCTATTCAGGGGGTGAACATTTGGAGTAAGTCAACTGGGGAGCTGCACAGAGATCAGTCAGGACTTTCCTTCCAAGCCAATCAGGAATGTGTTTGTGTGTGTATGTGTGTGTGTGGGGGTGTGTGTGTGCGTGTGCATGTGCATGTGCATATGTGTGTGCGTGCATCTACAAGTGTGTGTACATGTGTGTAAGAGTGTGTGTATGTGTGTGTGTATACGAGTCTGTGTGTGTGTGTGTGTGTGTGTCTGTATGTGGGTGTATACGAGTGTGTAGATGTGTGTGTGTACGTGTGTGTGTACAGAGGTATGGTGCAGAGTTGTACATGACAATGATTGGCAGGGTTTGCGGGCATTGGGGTAATATGAGAAACAAAGATTTAAATGAAGGTAACAGAAACAGAAATTGCTGCAGAAACTCAGCAGTTCTTTTACCATCCGTGGAAAGAGAAGCAGAGACAATATTTTGAGTCCAGAAACCCTTCTTCAGAACTGATAGCAGCTGAAGACAGGGGATGGAGTGGGGGAGGGGTGTGGCAAGGGGAAATAAATGAGTGGATAGGTGCAGACAAAGCCCAGGGAGAGAGAATGACAAAGGGTTGGATGATAGAATGCCAGGTTGAAAGAAAAGTAGAAAATAGGGACAATTAGTAGTTAAGTGATCCAATAATACTTTGCTTGGGCAATGTGGGTGTGTAGGGCTAGGGCAGAAGGTTTCAGTAATCCTCCTGCATTTACAAAGTCCCACTGTGTGAGCTGCATACATTGAAATAATGTCCACTAATGTCCACTAAATACCCATGTAGAGGCATTCCATGGCCCTTGTTATCAGAGTCTGCCATGTCCCACTGTAGACAGGAGTGACCTAAACCTTCCTCTGCAAATGATGGGAATTCTGACCATGACTTCATCTCATGACTTATATTTCCATTTAGTTTTGTATCATCAGCACATTTAGATACATTACTCTCTCAGTATTTGTCTAAGTCAATAATAGGCAAAGACACGAAGAAGTAAAAAAGTTTCGTTTACCAAGGATAGTGTCATCACTGTTGATTTACAAAATGGGATTTAAAATCCTGAATGCAGAAATGTATGTTTTATTCACATGATGGATAGATCATAGGTAAATTTACAAAAACTATGGTTATTTTTATTTGTATAACTCAATACTTTTGCTGTATAATTGATCTTGTGTCAACAGTGTGCAAGTCTGTATGTATAAGAAATAGAGTGGCAAAGATTTCAAAATTCAGTATGGACATACATTAAAGTCATGTAATTTTGGAACTGATGATAATATTTTGACATACTTACATTTTACTGGGCAAAATCCCCACTGGCCGTCAGCATAGTCAGAAGTAGTTGCACACCATAGGAGACCATCAGTTCTGCCGTCAGTCGTACAGTCTGTATACCATTTCTTATGGTACTTAAAGGGAAGTACACATGGCTGTCCATTTGAATTTCCAAATATTGTAAATAAATCTGAAAGAGAAACAGAATTCCAAAGAACCGCTAAGTTAAAAAACTAGAAATGTTGCTTTAAAGACCATTGGATTGTTAAATATGATTTTATAGTCCTGGTTACGCAAATGTTTCTTCTGTTGCTTCTTGAATAAATATATTTAATTGTGTTCTCTCCACTCCCATGGTAGAATTTGTATATGTTAAAAAGTTTGTGATTCCTCAGCTCTACCCATACAGATTCTACATCATCCGAACCTACATCTTTTCTCACTATTGATTTAATTTCATTTCTTACTAATAAGGCAATCCCACCTCCTCTGCCCAGCTGCCTGTCTTTTCGATAGGATGCATATCCTTGAACCCTTTGCAGCCACGTCTCCATGATGCCAAGCACATCATACCTGCCAATTTCGATCTGTGCCACAAGCTCATTTACCTTATTTCGTATACTGCATGCATTCAGATATGACACCTTCAGTCTTGTATTTACCATCCCTCTTCTCATTGTCATCCCTTTATCCGGTCAGCTTGAAATTAGATTCCTAACCCTTACCAAACACTCTGTCCTATTTTGTATTCTGGAGGCTTTAATAACCTCTCCTGAGTTCTCCTTTCTTTTCATTTTTTCATACTTTTCAATGCAGCTGAATCCACCCCCACAGATGTTAACCAGCTGCTTTGTATCCCATTTGCCATTATACTTCTTGGACTTTTACCCTTCCCTTCCTCCTGGCTTTCTAGTTTAAAGTCCTGTTGACCACCCTATTTACCCTTTTCGCTAGAACATTGGTCCCAGCTCAGTTTTGTTTGTGTTATAACGCACTGCAATGTCTAACAGTGTAACTGAGATTATGGTAACACATTCTTCCACAAAAACCCAAGGATTATTGACACTCCAAGGGCTGCTATTAACAGCATGATAAAATTAAACCACAAACTACATAATTATTATTTTTATGGTAGTTTGAGAAACAGATAATGTAAACACTTAAATCTGTGCACCAAAATTTTACACACAGACAATTTACTGGCTGCAGCCCAATGCTCTATAAACAAAGAGCAGAACTGATATTTGCATCGCTTGACAAAAATAAATCTGCTCAAACAGCTCTTCAATGATGGCAATGTCTGTTTGATGGAATATTACAATAAAGGTAGTTGTTAAAGTGTGTATAACAGCAGCCAGCATAATCATCCCAAGCTGATAGGAGCCAGTATTTAATGTGCCTTTATAACAGAAGCAAGCACATTCATCCCAAACTGATGTGTCTGGTATTTAATGTAGATGATGGGGGTCCCACCCTACAACTAGACACTAGTGAGAACTCTGTATCACCTCCTTTTGAGAAACTCCCATAAACTGTCTTTTAAGCACTTAACCTAGCAGAGGTGGACTTCCCACGTGATCAAAGACCTGGGGATGGAAATCCAAAACCTCCACCCCTGAGAGCTGCAGGCCTCCACTCCCAACACCACCAGTAACGTGAGTGAGAATGGGATGAGGGTTGTTGAATGACAGTAAGAGGGAGAAGGTTCAGCAGAAAGGAAAGGGAACTAGTTCTCAAGGTGTTCATTCTGATGCTGGGTCTATCAATCAGACACTGAGAGCCTTTAATTGAGAAATGTCTCTCCACGCACCCCCAGGCGATAGTGGCTTAACCATTCATTGTTCATTTAAGGAACTCATTTAGTCCAAATGTAGTTGAGCCATCTGTTGCTGATAAAATACTAGTGGATGTGAGTGGGGAAACAGGAACAGTTCCTTCACCAGTGCACCCAATTTTACATACCACACCTACTGCCACCCCCAACATACACTTGCCAATCAGTCCCATTAGGGAACAATATAAAATTCGTGTCAAATACTATGTGAATACATCAGTAAACATTCCAAATAATAAATACTATGATGGATACTGAAAATAACAAATCACAACATACAAATTCAAACGTGTAGTAAGTTCATTATATGTTAGATACAGAGGGATAATTAGCTATGTGGATATAGAATTTGGTCTAAGGTAGAAGACAGAGGGTGAAGGTAGAGGGTTCCTTTTCAGACTGGAGACCTGTGACCAGCAGTGTGCCACAAGAATCAGTGCTGGCTTTTCCTCATTTATATAAATGATTTGGATGTGAATATAGGAGGTATGGTTAGTAAGTTTGCAGATTAAACCAAAGTTGGAGGTGTAGTGGACAGCGAAGAAAGTTACTTCAGAGTGCAATGGGATTTTGATCACATGGGCCAATGGACCGAGAAGAGGCAGATGGAGTTTAATTTAGATAAATGTGAGGTGCCGCATTTTGGAAAGGCAAATTAGGCCAGGACTTATACACTTAATGGCAAGGCCCTGGGGAGTGTTGCTGAACAAAGAGACCTTGGAGTGCAGGTTCATAGTTCCTTGAAAGTGGAGTCATAGGTAGATAGGCTAGTGAAGAAGGCATTTGGTATGCTTGTCTTTATTGGCCAGTGCATTGAATTTAGGAGTTAGGAGATCATGTTGCGGCTGTACAGGACATTGGTTAGACCACTATTGGAATACTGTGCACATTTCTGGTCTCCCTGCTACAGGAAGGATGTTTTGAAACTTGAAAGGTTTCAGAAAAGATTTACAAGGATACTGCCAGGGTTAGAGGGTTTGAGCCATAGGGAGAGGCTGAATAGACTGGGATTATTTGCCCTGGATTGTCAAAGATTGAGGGGTGACCATATAGAGGTTTATAAGATCATGAGGGATATGGATAGAGTAAATGGACAAGGTCTTTTCCCCAAGGTGTGAGAATCTAAAACTAGAGGGCATAGTTTTAAGGTGAGAGGGGAAAGATTTAAATGGGACCTAAGGGGTAACTTTTTCACGCAAACGGTGGTGCATGCATGGAATGAGCTGCCAGAGGAAGTGGTGGATGCTGGTACAATTACAACATTTAAGAGGAATCTGGATGGGTATATGAATAGGAAGTGTTAAGAGAGATATGGGCCAAATGCTGGCAAAGGGGACTAGATTTATTTGGAATATCTGGTTAGCATGGACAAGTTGGACCAAAGGGTCTGTTTCTGTGCTATAAATCTCTACGACTCTATATATGTTCACTTACAGGATGTGGACACCTCTGACAAAGCCAGCATTCATTTTTCATTCCTAATGCCCAGAGGGCAGTTAAGAGTCAACCACATTGCTGTGGGTCTGGAGTCATATTTAGGCCAAACCAGGTAAGGATGGCAGAAACATAGAAACATGGAAGATAGGAGCAGGAGGAGGCCATTTGGCCCTTCGAGCCTGCACCACCATTCTTCACGATCATCGCTGATTATCCAACTCAATAGCCTAATCCTGTTTTCTCCCCATATCCTTTGCTTCCATTCACCTCAAGTGCTATATCTAGTCGCCTCTTGAATACGTTCAATGTTTTGGCATCAACTACACCATGTGGTAATGAATTCCACAGGCTCACCACTCTTTGGGTGAAGAAATGTTTCCTCATCTCCGTCCTAAATCTATTACTCTGAATCCTCATACTATGACCATTGGTTCTGGACACAACCACCATTCGGAACCTCCTCCCTACATCTACCCTGTACAGTCCCATTAGAATTTTATAAGTCTCTATGAGGTCCCTCCTCATTCGTCTGAACTCCAACAAAAACAGTCTCAACCTAGTCAATCTCTCCTCATATTTCAGACCTGCCATCCCTGGAATCAGCCTGGTAAACCTTTGCTGCACTCCCTCAAGAGCAAGAGTATCCTTCCTCAGAAAAGGAGACCAAAACTCCCCACAATATTCCAGGTGTGGCCTCACCAAGGCCCGGTATAACTGTAACAACACATCCTTGCTCTGTACTCGAAATCTCTCGCAATGAAGGCCAACATACCATTTGCCTTCTTTACCTCCTGCTGCACCTGCATACTTACCTTCAGTGACTGGTGCACAAGGATGCCCAGGTCCTGCTGCACTCTCCCTTCTCCCAATTTACAGCCGTCCAGGTAGTAATCTGCCTTTTTGTTTTTGCTTCCAAAGTGAATACCCTCACATTTATCCAAATTATACTGCATCTGTCATTAATTTGCCCACTCACCCAGCCTGTCAAGATCATGCTGAAGGATCTCTGCATCCTTGTCACATTTCACCCTCCCACCCAACCTGGTACTATCTGCAAATTTGGAGATGTTACATTTTGTTCCCTCATCCAAATCATTAATATATATTGTGAATAACTGGGGTCCCAGCACCGAACCCTTGGCACCCTACTAGTTACTGCCTGCCAATTTGAAAAAGACTTAATTCCTACTCTTTGTTTCCTCTCTGCCAACCAGCTCCCTATCCATCTCAATACATTCCTTCTAATCCCATGCGCTTTAATCTTGCAAATTAATCTCTTATGTGGGACTTTGTCAAACACTTTCTGATAGTCCAAATATACTCCATCGACTGGTTCCCCCTTGTCAACCCCCTTGGCAGTTTCTTCCCTCAAGGACATCAGTGAACCAGATGGAGTTTTCCAATAATTGAGAATGGTTTCATGGTCATCATTAAACCCTTAAATCCAGATTATGTATTGAATTCAAATTCCGCCATAAACCTTGGTGGGATTTGAATCCATGTCTCCAGAACATTAGGCAAGTTTTTGGATTAATAGCCTTGTGATAATACCACTTGATTAATGCCTCCCTCCAAATTGCATTAATACAATAAATAACTTCTTTCATTCACTTGTTAGATAATTTTCCATACCTTCATAATGTATCGAACAAAGATCATTTTCGGTGCCATAAACTTTCCACCTGCTCCAACTTCCTGATCCTTTGTACAGCATAATATTTTTCTTGTTCCTATTTCCATAGTTGAAGTAAAGGTCAGCCCCTTCAATTCCTAAGAGTGTGTCATTCCTGCATCTCCATGACTGTAGATAGCTTGTTTCGTTGCATGGGAAGAGAGTTATCGGAACCCAGTTTACCTTGCTAGAAACTCCAAGGCACAATTTGAACTTGATGCTCATGATTCTCTGACCAGAAACCCATCTAAATTTCTGTGATTCAGCAGCAGGCTCACAACTACTTGCTACCACAGACCGTTCATTTTCTGCATCCACACACTTCTTATGGTCTTGATTGTATATTAGGAAGGTGTTGGGATCTGAAACATAAGCAGGAAGATAGTTACGTTTCTTTTTACACCTTGTTAATTGAACTACAGCTCTAGAAAATTGCTGCTGCTTTATGATTCAAACTGATCTTGATGAAAAATGTTTAAACTCAGATTGAAATGATTTCTTTTTCTGTTACATGCCACTAAAACACACAACTTGACTAATCATATGAGGTTTATTTGTGCAATTTAATTGCAGCACTTCAATTTTTATCCACCTAGAAATTTCGGGATTTTCAAAAAGTATTTCAATAGTACCACATGTTTAACAAAATGCTGATAGCTAGTCATAATTTGAGCTACCTATTGCTGACTCATGCAAGTCCTTAGATGGATTCTTTTATTCATGTCAATCATATTTTTTACCATCTCCTTCAACCCATCGCCTGGCTGGTTCTACTTCATAGTTAACACATAAGCAAGCGTAATGATATCAGGAAATAGCAAGGGTAATAATGCCTGGAAACATCAATATCTTCTATAATATATTATATGCATATTTTAAGACCATTATTAAAATCCCATCTGTTAATTTTAAGAATTATGTTGATATCCTATTTGTTTGCATCTGATACCCAGAGATTGAGTGATAAATATTTCATATCTTACATTAATTCTTTCATACTTCTTTGCAGATGTAGACACAACCATTTCTAAAATTAAGTCAGATATATGCTTTTTAGCAAATGCTCTGATTAAAGTATATTTTATTAAATGCAAGTCTCCCTTTCATTAATGGAAGACATTTGAGGTATATCATTTTGCAGTCTGTGCATAAATCAATGTGATTCAATCCTGAATAAAGAACATATTCTGAATTTTATTTACTTTCCAAAGTAAGCACCTGTACGAAGGAAACTTTCACAAATAAAAACTCATTCCTTGGCTTCCAAAGATAACAACAGATTCAACCATCTTCTGAAAAAGACTGAGTCTAAAATGCTTGCAAGAACTCTAACACATTGCCAGTCAGACTAAAAACAAATCTTGAACCTAAGACCAGCAAACAATTGTTGCATAATGAGTAATTATAGATTCATTGACATTTACAGCACGAAAAGAGATCATTCAATGTAACCCAGAGATAACAAGGTGTAGAGCTGGATGAACACAGCAGGCCAAGCAGCATCAGAGGAGCAGGAAGGCTGACGTTTCGGGCCTAGCCCCTTCTTCAGAAAATTCATTGACATTTACAGCACGAAAAGAGATTATTCAATGTAACCCACTTGTGTTAGGTCTCTGAAACAGCCATTCAATTAGTAAGAGTTCTGATATTGTTATGTAAAGCAAGCTTTATGCAAAGGTAAATGCCAGCTCCAATATGCAAGAGCATTTAGAGAAGGAAGTTGTAAGAGAAAGCATCAATTTCTAAATTTCCATAGAGTTGTAATAAAAAGTACCACAAGAAATAAAACATAAATAACTTACCCCCACATCTGACGGTTTGAATAAAACAAAGTAAAGCAGCAAACAGAATTCCACACATCATAGGCATTTCATTATTGTTTTTGGATGAGTAGTAAGGTTTTAAATGATCTTCCCTTCCCAAAAAACGGTAGTTGGTGATGAAGGAAACTCCTAATTAAAAGTAGCACTGACTCCTAGCACTGACTGAGCTGATAAGTACAGATGCCCAAGTAGAATATCCTGTCACATGATGGACCATCAATAACAGGAATCCAGTCAAGAAAATTTGCTTTCATCAGCTTTGTTTCATATTTACATTTCACTTCCTTTACCCTGTCACGGAGGATGAGATATATATCATTCAGGCAGCAAATTTTTCTGACTTATTTTGATTTTTCTCCTTATTGCGATTGAAAACACTGCTCCAGTACTGTTTGAATAGAAAAAAAAATCACCCTTTTAAGTCTCTTGAGAGTTCTGTAAATTAATTATGTTTAGTGTCAGAAGTACACTCAATAATGACATAACAATGCTTTCAGAGATATATGAGTAGATAGAGGAATCCGGAATGGCCAGAAGCTCTAATCTCCTGTGAAGAGATAAATAAAAACCTCCTGCACAATATATCACACACTCAATTTTCAAATCTGGCTACTCAACAAAATATTGTGGGTGTGGCAAAGGCGAAACGAAGCTACAAAGCTAGCAGTTGAAGAGAATCTCAAGTTTAAGAGGTGAAATCAAAATAAAAATGAATACTCACTGAATTAAGTAAAAAAAACCAAAAGAACTGCAGATGCTGAAAATCAGAAGCAATACCAGGGATTGCTGGAAAATCACAGTAGGTCTGGCAGCATCTGTGGAGAGATATCAGAGTTAATGTATCACATCCAGTTACTTTTGGGTCCTTTTCAAATTGGCAGGCAGTAACTAGTGGGGTGCCACAGGGTTCGGTGCTGGGACCCCAGTTATTCACAATATATATTAATGATTTGGATGAGGGAACAAAATGTAACAATTCCAGATTTGCAGATGGTACCAGGTTGGTTGGGAGGGTGAACTGTGACAAAGATGCAGAGATGCTTCAGCATGATCTCGAACGGTTGGGTGAGTGGGCAAATCAATGGCAGATGCAGTATAATTTGGAAGACTGTGAGGTTATTCACTTTGGAAGCAAAAACAAAAAGGCAGATTACTACCTGAATGGCTGTAAATTGGGAGAGAGGAGTGTGTAGTGGGACCTGGACATCCTTGTGCACCAGTCACTGAAGGTAAGCATGCAGGTGCAGCAGGAGGTAAAGAAGGCAAATGGTATGTTGGCCTTCATCGCGAGAGGTTTCGAGTACAGGAGCAGGGATGTGTTGTTGCAGTTATACAGGGCCTTGGTGAGGCCACACCTGGAATATTGTGGGGAGTTTTAGTTTCCTTTCCTGTGGAAGGATGCTGTTGCTCTTGAGGGAATGCAATGAAGGTTTACCAGGCTGATGGCGGGGAAAGAGGGACGTATGAGGAGAGATTGACTAGGTTGGGATTGTTTTTGTTAGAGTTTCAGATGAATGTGGGGTGGGTGGGGGGTGGAGTGGTGGGATCTCACAGAGACATAAAATTTTAACAGGACTGGACAGGGTAGATGTAGGGAAAATGTTCCCAATGGTGGGTGTGTCCAGAACCAGGGGTCACAGCATGAGGATTCGGGGTTGACAATTTAGGACAGAAATGAGGAGACATTTCTTCACCCAAAGAGTGGTGAGCCTGTGGAATTCATTACCACAGGAAGTAGTTGATGCCAAAACATTGAATATACTCAAGATGTGAATAGGTATAGCACTTTGGGTGAATGGGATCAAAGGTTATGGGGAGAAATCAGGATTAGGCTATTGAGTTGGACAATCAGCATGATCACAGAGAACCTCTTGCTCCTATGTTCTGTGTTTCGATGTTACTCTTCTTCAGAACTGATTGTAGCTAGGATAAAGGATTTTTATGCAAAAGATAGGGGAAGGTGTGGGGGAGGCAGGGGGCAGCGGTAAGGAATAAACAATCAGTGGAGATAGAGCCCAAAGAGAGACAATAACAGTTCAACAGACAAGGGGTAGGTGACAGTCAGGCTAGGAGAATGAATAGCTGCTAATTTGGGCTAATAATGGCTAACAATAGGTAGTGTGTAATAGCATACCATGTAATAGCAAGACCTGATGTGTGAGGCTCGGGGTAAGATATGAAAGAAGGTGCTTTAGCTTTAAAATTATTGAACTCGATATTGAGTCCTGAAGGCTGCAGAGTACCTGAGCAGAAAATGAGGTGTTGTTTTTCCAGCTTGCACTGAGCTGCGCAGGAGCACTGCAGCAAGACTGAGACAGAGATACTGACCAGGGGACAGGATGCTGTGTTGATGTGGCAGGTAATTGGAATCTCAGGGTCTTTTTTTTGCGGACAAAAGTTAGGTATTCTGTGAAGCGGTCCTCCAGTCTACGCTTCATTTCCCTAAGGTGGAGGATACCACATTGTGAGCAGCAAATGTAGTAGACTAGATTGAGTGGTGCAGGTAAAACACTGCTTCACCTGGAAGGTGTGTTTGGGCCCTTGGATACTGAGGAGGGAGGAAGTAAATGGGCAGGTCTTACACCTTCAGTAGGTTCAGTGGGGGCTCTTTTGCAGTTGGGGGGCGGTGGTGTTGGGAACAAAGAAAGAGTGGAGCAGGTTGGCCAGGAATGAATGGTCCTTGCGAAAGGCTTTTGGGGTTCTATTTCCATCTATCAGTTTCTCCTTAACAGCCGTGCCCCATCCCCTCTCCCCCCACCGCCACCCCACCTCCCCCCCGCCCACCCAATCTTCTGCATAAAAACAACTTTTTCAGAGTTACCATCAGTTTTGAAAAAGGATCACTGGATCCAAAACGTTAATGCTGATTTCTCACCACAGGTGCTGCCAGACATGCTGGGATTTTCCAACAATTTGTTTTTGTTTCTGAATATTCACCTCGAAAGCATGAATGTTACAGGAGAGAAGGTAAACCAATGTTTCGTCTAGACTGGAAACATTAGCTTGCTTTTTCTCCGTGGATGCTGCCTGACTCACTGTGATCTGCAGCATTTTTTGATTTCAGTTTAGATTCCAGCATCTGCAGTAATTTGCTCCTACATGAATGTTACAGGAGCAACAGCAGCAAGGTGAACCACAAATCTGAAGACCTGACAGCAGTGAGCAAAGGCCCAAAGCCACGAGAAACAGGGCGGACACAGTGATAGATGCAGGAACATTTCCCCAGCTCAAAGGAAGCACGAAATCCACTCAATTTACCTCAATTAAATGAAGTAGAGGGCTAGATTAACCCAATGCATGAGTGCATGAAAGCCTACCCAAAACTAGCCAAGAACACCCTAATTACCAAATAGGATTTTAACGCTGGATTCTAGCAATGACCTCTGAATGAAGAATCCAGATTGTTGACTACATCTATAACTCCTTTGGGCACTTTTCTTTTTAACTAATTACATCTTGAAATTGTGCCCTTTCCAGTAATTTTTCAGAGAATGTTATCCAAAACATTAGAAGGCATTGATAGTGTAATAGACCACATTGAAAACATAAAAGCTACATGAATCGGTGGAAACAAAAATATGAGCAAAGAGGCAGAACCATCTGCAAAGTCATACAAAATGTTGGACTAAACCCTATTGAAAAATGAGAGTCAAATGATGTGGATCAAAAGTTGTAGGAGAATTTATATTATGTAGGAATGCCACAGAAATTCAAAGAATCCTTGGTATTGTGTCTCAAGCAGGCCAGGCTTCTAAAGTATTTCGTAGAAGTCAATGAGCTTTTGGGACAAGATCAACAATATTGCTGGAACTTGGACCAACAAAATTCTTTTCAAAAGATTGAGCAAGTCTTGATCTGTTCAAAAATATTAGTACATTTCCATTTATTCTGACATCCCTATAGCAGCAGCAACAGCATCATCTACAGAACTGGAAGCAGTGCTATTTCAAGTGCGGAAAAGTCTACCGTGCCTTTGCGTCGTCAGCAGAGCCAGATAACAAGGTGTAGAGCTGGAGGAACACAGCAGGCCAGGCAGCATCAGAGGAGCAGGAAAGCTGACGTTTCGGGTCCCGATCCGACCCTGTTCTTCTGATTCTGCCTGGTCTGCTGCGTTCCTCCAGCTCCACACTGTGTTATCTCTGATTCCAGCATCAGCAGTTCTTACTATCATCAACAGAGCCAGAACAGGTGCTATGCTCTGAGATAGAACAAGGTTTTAATAGTAACATGGGCATGTGCAAAAACAAAGTTGCTGGAAAAGCCCAGTAGGTCTGACAGCATCTGTGAAGGTAAAAAAACAAGAGTTATCGTTTCATGTCCGGTGACCCTTCCTCAGAACCACATGTGAATTTTTTTCAGATTGTGTAATGGGATTGCGGTTCAACATTGAAACTAACTATGGCTTATGAGTCACTCTTCTGCACAGGAAAGAAATAACTAAGTTGCTACCCAGAATCTGGTGATTTAGACTAAGACTCATGAAGTACAATTCATTCAGCAGTTTTTACTGAAAAAATACCAGACAGCTAACACACTCACAAGAATTCTAAGAAATGGAATTGAACAGGAAGACATGGACTTCATTGAGGTGGATGAAGCTTGTACATCATTAATCACTCAGAAGCTACCAGTTACTGAAGGGAAGTTGCAAGAAATAAGACAAGACTAAGAATAGAATACTGATTATCTTCAAATTGAAAACATTGTCTGGAAAGATGGTCAAACTATAGCCAACATTGTAATATTACACCAGTACTTTGAATGGCCTGAGCACCTCAATCTCACTGAGGATTTACTAGTCTTTGAGATCAGATTAGACATCCCAAAGATATTCTTCAAAGTATTCAACATTACACTCCAACATCACTGCATTCCTTGTGCTATTAACAGTCAGAAATGAAAGAAACCATTATTGCCTTCTCCTTTTCCAACCATGGGAACATCTGGGAATGGAATTACTCAAGTTCAAGGGAAGAATATTCATTATTGTTATTGATTACATGAAGGATTGACACTAACTATTTTGCAAGTATCAAAGCAGGTGCAATTATGCAATTCCTCAAAGGAATTTATTCCACACATGGGATCCCGGACATTGTGTAGCCTCAGACGATGGACCAT